TGTGGTCTCTGAGGCTGTGTGGTCTCTGCTTTGTGGTCTTTGAGGCTTTGTGGTCTTTGAGGCTGTGTGGTCTGAGGCTGTGTGGTCTCTGCTGTTGGGGGGGGTCTCTGATGCTAGAATGTTTCTAGTGGCTGGAGGATTTCTTGGAGTGTTTTTCCACACAAAGATTCTATGATTTTTGTCACAAAGGAGCGTGTGAAACTTGAAGAGTAAACAAAAGGTCTGGACAGGTTTGTTTGATTCGGGCCTCTTTATTTTTTTCTAGCTGATGTAGAAGGTAAATGATCATGGCTCTCCAGACCCTACTGTGCTTAAGGAAAATCAGTACCTCCTTTTTGTCTCAGCAAATCAGAGACCGTGGGGGAAGTGCTGCTCCGCAGTGCTGGGACTGGCCACAGGGTCAAGGGAACACCAGGCTAGAGTTCTCTCTCCGAGCTGCATCTAAGCCTGGAAGTTCTGTTTTTGGTCACATTGGTAATCTTTTGTTCCTGGCTGAAAGTGTTGTCTGTGTTTCTTACATGGATTGTTGACAAACATCTTCCCATTTATTCAACCTCTTAATTATCCTTATTTTAAAAAACAATACATAAAAACCTAAAGGAAATAAACAGGAGAACATGGTGTCATTTCATGAGGGCAGAGACCATGTTTGTGTTGTCTATTAGAAACTAGAACAGTCTCTGCAGGTGGCCCCACTGGGCTGTGTGCCTGTGCCGGGTGTTGGAGGCTGGTCCAGTGCTAATTACTGCCCAGTGGACACACCCACCCTTGTTTGTGTAACCTGCCTAAAACATTATACCTGATTGGTTCATTAAATGGCCTATACCTGGGCGAGGCAGAATGGGGTAAGCGTGGCTAGGTTCCGAGCTTTTGAGGATGGTAGAATCACAGGACAGATAGAGGGGCAGGAAGAGAGGAAGAGGGAGGACGTCAGGATGGGTTAGCCTGGAGAAAACACCACGTGGGCCCAGGAAGGACTACAATAATGGTGTGAAAAGGCCCAGATGAATAATAAAAGCAAGTACCATGGGATTATGGATGGAAGGTAGACCAGATGAGAAGGATTAAGGTGGATGGCACTGGATGGGTGGTGGGAGATGGATGGTGAGGATATTGAGACAGTGTAGGTGAAATATCTGCCTGGCCCAAGGTAAATAAGGCAATTATAAACTCTTTGTCTTATTATTTGTGATTGTGGGTTAAATAATACCGCCATGATATTAGGGCTAATAATAAACATTTTATAGCCCAATGCTCTTTTTTTTTTTCAATGTTCTACATGACACAGGCGTTGTTCAGTCAGGCTTGCAGGCAACATTTGCTGTGGTTCTAAAACTGAAAGCTGTTCCCTGGGGTTCTGGAGATGGGCTGGCACAGAGCCATTCTGCTGTTTCAAGAACAAGTGTCAAAGACAGAAGCCAAAATTAGGGACAGCTCACATGAAATGTCAGATGAGGGTACGGATTTGGTTAAATGTGGTGGCAACTGGATACATGTGGCTTTTTACATCGTAAATAATTATTATGTACTTGATTAAAATACTAGGGGCTTGGTTAAGAGCTCCAGAGGGACAGATGGCTGTTGTCCACTGGGCAGCACCATAGGGAGCATTTCCATCCAGCAATGTGGAGACTCCACTGGAGAGTGTTGTGCCCGTGGGGGTGGGGCCAGCTTACTTAGCAACCAATGGCACTGGAATGTCAGTGTTGGAGGGTTTAGTGCGAGCTGCAAGACGGAGTGCACAGTGATCTCTAGTTACCGAAGCCCAGTAGCTCAAACCCCTTTTCTAGCACACAGAAGACAGTCTTAGCATTCAGGTGGAAGGGAACCATCCACCTTTATCATCTTCTGTGGTCTTTGGGAACATTATTCCGTGTTTATAGCTGTTCCAATAAAGAGAACAATCCTTTTGTAAGCACAGTTGATGTGGTGTGTGGAAGGGTCTGCCCATGGGATGTGCTTAATCATGCTTAGCTTCCTGTAGTACGCTTATTTTGCTTTTTTCATTTCCACATCAGTGGTCTGTGTGTGAGGTGAAGGTTTTCTGTTTTCTCCCTTGCTTTGCAGAGTGCACAGGGTTTTCCATCCGTCCTGTGGCTGGTTACCTCTCACCGAGAGATTTCCTGTCAGGGTTAGCCTTTCGAGTCTTTCACTGCACTCAGTATGTGAGACACAGTTCAGATCCTCTCTATACCCCAGAGCCGTAAGTACTTCAGGCGCTCGTCCATCACGTGGTTATTTACGGTAGACACCCACTTCCCAAAGCGTCTTGTGAGTGTTGAGCGTGCGGCTGTGTCAGGCCTCAGAACAGTGACCGACGTTAAAGTGCATCCCATGACTTACTCAACCGGCTACTTATCATTGTATGTCAACTTCCTTGACGTCATGTGCGGCTCCGTGCACGAGGGACGTCAACATTACGGTCTTCATAAAGTTTATATTTTGGGAGTTTATACACATGTGAACAAGTGTGGTGTGTGTCCTGTCGGACAATGATGTGAGGACAGGGAACAATAGAATCAGGGAAGGAGGAGACATGTGTGTGCGTGTTGTTTTCAGAAGTGTGATCGGAGAGGGCCGTGGCGGGTGGGGGACTTGGGTGTGTGTTGTTGGGACAAGATTTCTCCTGTTTAACCAGAGTGAGAACAAGGTTTCTTGGGACAGTTGTTGCATGTGTGACAATCCCAATGCTGTGACTGACTGTGTCTCTGTTGCAGAGACACCTGCCATGAACTCCTGGGCCATGTTCCTCTCTTGGCTGAACCCAGTTTTGCTCAATTCTCCCAAGAAATTGGCCTGGCTTCCCTTGGAGCGTCGGAGGAGACTGTTCAAAAACTGGCAGCGGTATATATCTAAACATAGCTGTGTAGTCCAGGATTCTCCACTGGGTGTGGCTAGGAGTATTTGGTCATTTTGAAGTCCATGTTCAAGGCAACCATTAAAAAACTTGCTTTTACTTTAAATGCTTATGGATTTAAATAACGTTGAATGAAGACATGAAAATTTAGGGTTTCTCAAAAAGAAACACAGCTTTAAAACAAGACAGAAGCAAAAGTTTGCTTTAAGTGGTGTGTTATGAACCAGGGAAGGAAGGGCATTCTAGGATGAGGCGCATGGCAGATGAGAATGGGCTCGGCGCTGCTGGGGAGAGCTGAGGGTGGAGGGGGCGTGTGGAATAGGCTGACTGGTTCTGAAGCTGTGGCTTGGGAATGCTAGGGGTTCCTGAGAGCTTCTGTGGAGTGGTTTGGGACAAAATTATTAATATGTAAAAGATAAAAAATGTATTTTTTAATGTGATGAACAAGGTGTGGCTGCCGTGTACTAGGTGAGGTAGTTTAAAGAGTATCCACATTTCTTTGAAAAGGGGATTAAAATACCCAGCCCTCTTCTAACTACATAACTGTGAAGCTGAGCTTTCTTGATATACTTGAACCAAAACAACATATTGCAAAAGATTAAATACAGAAGCAGATATGGCAATCCGTCTGCCTTCTCATCAGACATTAAATAATGTCTAGCCAGACACAGGCAAGATGTGAAGAGTGTTGGGTTAGCTGATTTAGTCACTCCATGCTGTGAATCCATAGGATTATAACTGTCAAAAACTAAAAGCAGACAAAGCCAGAGAGACGGCCCAGTGCCACCAAATGTGAGCCCATGGTTGAAGGAAGAGCCGGTTCAAGAAGATATTCGCTGACCTCCACAGGCATGTGCTCACAGGCAAATAAGTATAAAAGAAATTAGGTTAAAGCTAAAAGGAAGAGGGTGGAGAGATGGCTCCATATTTGGGAGCATTTTCCTGCTCTTCCAGAAGACCCAGGTTCCATTTCCCAGCACCCACATTAGGCAGCTCACAAACCCCTGTAACTCCTGCTCCACAGGATCCCATGCCCTCTTCTGGCCTTTGTGGTTGCCCACATACATACACATAAATAATAAAAATAAAAAGATGAATAACAATTATAAAACAATGCTACTCTTGTGTTACTTTTCGTTTTGTAAAATGTGCTTTTATTAAAGTGTAACTTATATTACCATACAGTGGGGTTTACCATATTTAAAATTGATTTTTCAAGCACCTAAATTGTTTCTTGGTTTTAATCTGATCAATATAGCTGGGGTTACACATACACATGGAGAGATCTTTGGACTCTGGTAATTTTCAACTGTATTTGAGAGGCGCTACACCCAGTTTACAAAGTCCTGATGTACCACAGGACTGGACTGTGAAAGGACTTGGAATCTGGGCTGGAAGTCTTGGGCTTGATTCTGGGTGCACGTTGGGTGAGTGACTGAGATCTGGAACTTGCTTAGACTGACGTGCTCAGGGTGTGAGCATGGCTTTGACCTCCTTTTGCAGTGCTACTTTTTCACTGTGGAGTTTGGTCTGTGCAAACAAGATGGACAGCTGAGAGTCTTTGGTGCCGGCTTGCTCTCTTCCATCAGTGAGCTCAAAGTAAGAGTCATCGGTCTTTACACATACTGTCCACCGACAGGATCCACATGCCCGGAGGCGGGGCTTGCACCTGAGCAAGCACTTACCATAGGGAAGATTTGAGGTGGCAGGAAACATAATTTGAGACTATTTTTCTCTACTCTCCCAAATTTCTAGGAAAAAAAAAAGTGTCTTTCAAATAGAAAGTGTTTTAAAGCTTTAAACAAATTTCTGGGATACAAGCAGTAAGTTCTGTATCAAGTAGGGAAATGAAGTCTATTTGCTGAAGACAGGAATGAGGTCTGTGTCGTTGTTGTCCAAGCTACCGTCCTGTGCTCAAGGAGGGTGCTCTCTGGTGCTGGGTCTAAGGCAAGTGTAAGAGTGACTAGAGGAGGTAAACAGTAGGTACCATAATGTATAAGTAAATAAGTGAACAGATAAAGGTGCCCAGAAGCCTCCTGTGTGATGAAGAGAGTTAAAATAAACCAACAGAGATGACCCTGGGTTACTTGTGGGGGACAGCAAACTGTTTAATTTTTGTTTAGCCTGGATGAAGTAGAGATGTGGGAAGCCAGTTTGGGGCTGCAGTCAGGGCCCTGCATATCTCGGAGCAGAGGTGTGCCAGCCGCAGCAGCCATGCATTCTGTGAAGACAGGCGGTACTTGACGGTCGTTCTTTTCCCCCAGCATGCGCTTTCTGGACATGCCAACGTTAAGCCCTTTGACCCCAAGGTTGCCTGCAACCAGGAATGTCTCATCACAAGCTTCCAGGATGTCTACTTTGTATCTGAGAGCTTTGAAGATGCAAAGGAGAAGATGAGGTAAAAATCTGTGTCCATCGAGCTTCTGTTTGCTGCAAAAGTAATGTCCAAACATATAATAGTCATAGGTACGAGCGAGGAGGTTAATTGGGAGCCCACCAGGAGTCTTCAGCCTGAGACATGTCCGTTGTTTAGAGGAGGTTGAATATTGTATGTTAAGTAGTTGCATGTGGAATGGCCTGCATTGAGAGATTGGCGCCTCCCCTTTCTTTCCCAGCAGAGTTTATAGCTCAGCAGGAAAAAAAGAAACTAGAGACAAGATACTGTGGTAATATGAAAAATGGCAAGAATGGAGCTAGAGAGGAAACACAGTCTTGCCTCCATCAGTCTCCTCTCCCGCTGGAGAATCACAGAAATCTTAGAGGCGGCGAGACAGGTGGGAAGACAAGCTAGAACTTAGATGTGTTAAGTTTTAGGCTGGAATGACACGGGATAGAAAGAGATAGAAAGTCATGGGGATATTCCAGTGCAGGCAGAGCTCCTGACTCTATCACAGAGCAGACAGTCAAGGCGGAAGAACTGGGGCACAGATGCTTTTGAGGAGATTCTTGCAAACTTCAGGTGAAAGTAAAACCTGGACTAAGGTTGAGACAGCAGGAAGTGACGATGGAAGCAGGATTCAGAAAACAGCACGTGGTCATGAAGCAGACAGGGGTGAGATAATGCTTATCTTTCAGGGGCTTGCTATGCACAGAACGGAGTAACAATAGCAGCTGGGCTTTTTCTAGCACAGATGGCATCTTGTGCAAAGCTTCAGCGGTTCCTGCTGGGGAGGCCAGATGGATGGGAACCTGGATTCCAGTCCCCAAGCATGCACACTTGTTCTCAGCTGTGCAGTTATCCTTTGGGGTCCTAAACATGATTGCTCTGTAGGGTGCTAAGTACGAGGATCAAATGTTGGCTTGATAAAGAAGGCAGGTTTTAAACCTTGAGGGAAGGGAGAATTCAAGTCCGTGAGAAAAAGCCAAAAACAACACCCTAAGCAGAAAATTCACACAAACACAGCAGGATAGGACTCTTCTCTCTCTCTCTCTCTCTCTCTCTCTTTCTCCCCTTTTGTTATGTAAGGCAGAGCCAAGGAGGAGTCTGTGGTTCAGTATTGCCATTATCATCTGACAGATAAAGCTGCTGTGGTTGATTCCCTTGGTGAAGCCAAGGGGTCAAGAGATGGATTGTGGAGCACTTCCATGGCAAGAAACATGGGATTAATGTCCAGTATGGGAGCATGGCCAGGGGAAAGATGGACAGGGAGGGGGAGAGGGAGAGATTGAACACTTCATCTTTGAGGCCACAGTAGATGCTGTTGAGGCCACTGCTCTCAGGACAAGGAAAGCAGCTGTGTATATGTGTGTATGTGTGTGTGTATGTGTGTGTGTGTGTGTGTGTGTGAGAGAGAGAGAGAGAGAGAGAGAGAGAGCAGGTCTCTGTCCTTTAGTTTTGTCACCTGCCCTCATAGGAATTAATGCTCCCTTACTTATTGTCTTAAATAGAGAATTTGCCAGAACAGTGAAGCGCCCATTTGGAGTGAAGTACAATCCGTACACACAGAGCATTCAGGTTCTGAGAGACCCCAAGAGCATAACCAGTGCCCTGAACGAGTTGCGGTACGACCTCGATACCGTCAGTGATGCCCTGGCGAGGGTCAGCAGGTGGCCCAGTGAGTGATGGTCTCCGGTCTGAATCCAGAAAGCCTCTGAGCATCAGTTCGGGGCCAGGGCCACTTCTTGCTCCCCGAAGACCTGTGTGAGGAGGGCCAGCAATCCCAGCTTATCGAAGTGTGTTACCTCTCTCTGTTAACAAGTCACTCGCCGTGAAAACGCATACCTGGACGCTCGAGCCACCACACACCGTTTTGTTTTGTCTTTAGGCACCTGCTAGGGAAATATAATTCACATACCATGCAATTCACCATATTCCCATTTAAAATATTTCATTAAAATATAATTGAATCGTTCTTTCCCTTCCCTTTCTTTTCTCCAATCCCTCCCTCTCAGATTCACGGCCTTTCTACTGAACACCTATTTTTGATGGGCAAGTTGTTTGACGCTGGCCAGAGCTGGTCTCATTGTGATGCTACTTTCCTCCAGTCTGCCGTTAGCAAATGGTCATGTCGGATGCCCTCAGAGTATGTCTGTTACCGCCACGGGCTCTGTGACAGCCCAGGCTTGTTCACACACTAGGCTTAAAGGAGACTAGCTGGCCCCATTGCTAGCATGAACAGAAGGACTTTGCTCTACGCGTGACTAAGAAAACAGCTTCAAGTGCACTGTGTGGCAGGGATGCAGAGCTCACTAACACTCAGCCAGGCATGAGGATGCCCACAGTTCCAGTGCTCTCTGGCACTGTACTTCAAGGTGTCACACTGGGACATGAACGGGAAGGCAGTGAGGGAAGAGGGTAGGAAATGGGGGTGGAGATGGAGTAAGGCATCTTGCCTCTTGATTGTAATTCTGTGAGGGCGCAAAGGATTGGGGCACATGTCAGCTGTGTAGCTTTGGCATAAGCAGCTGTGTAAACTTTGCCTTACTGTGGCAAAGTGGCAGAGGCAGTCCACTTATAAAGAGGAAAAGTTTATTTTGGATGCTTTGGACTATTGGAAGTTGTTTCTGTGCCTGTGGTGAAGCAAGGCATGGTGGGAGAATATGGCAGAGCAAAGCTATAAACTTCATAAAGGTTGGAAAGAGAAAGAGGGAAGGATTTAGAGAAGGAAGAAGAGAGGGCTGGAGGGAGGAGGAGACATACAGAAACAGACAAGGACACACACACAGAGAAAGAGAGATAGTACAGTTTGCTACCAGAATAGGAGTTAATGTACTAGCTGCTCTTCCAGAGGACCTGATTTGATTCCCAGCACACATCTGTTACTCCAGTTTCAGGGGTTCTAATATCTTCTGGCCTCCATGGATAGCAGGCAGGCATGAAAGTAGTACACAGACATACACAAGACAAAACATCCATACACATAAAAAATGAAAACTCCACTTCTGATTTTCACATTAATAGTAATTTGTATTCTGTTGAACATGTTTCATCTCAAGCCCACTAGATTTTTTTTTTTTTACTACATTTAAAAAAAATCCTTTTAAGAATTCAGATGGGCTGGAGAGATGGCTCAGAGGTTAAGAGTACTGACTGTTCTTCCAGAGGTCCTGAGTTCAAGGCTCACAACCATCTAAAATGTGATCTGATGCCCTCTTCTGGCACACAGGTGTACATGCAGATAGAGCACTCATACATAAAACAAATAAATCTTAAAAAAAAAAAAAAGGGTTCAGAGGAAACTATGTATTTCATTCCATGCTCTCCAAGGAAGCAGACCCAGGAAGGGTAACTCAGTCATCTCAGATCTTCATAGATGTACTCACTCTTAACAGATATTACGCACACATACAGCAGCAAGTAAAGATGTCAGTTCTGAGTTGCCTGAAGTACAGTCCAGCTAGTTCACAGTCTGCTTGGTTACCAGGGAAAGTGCTGTAAAGAAATCCTAACCAATAGCAAAGAGAGATCGCCTTCTGCTGTGTCTGGGTATTTCCGTAAGGCTCCGATGCTGGAGAGTCAGTTATTGGCTTTTGAATGGCAGCGCTCAACATTTGCTCTGACTAAAGCTCTTTAGAATAAACGGTGAAGCCACAGCTTTATCACCTGTAACTTCAAGATGGCAGAAGTACTTCGTGGCGGGCTTGACTTTGTCTAGCCTCTGATTCTGGAATATTTGGGAAATCAGGGTTTTAAAGAACCTTTTAATAATGATTGGAACATCAGGACAGAGCTGAACCAAAAGCACCGCTCGTAATTCCCTACCAGAGCCATTCCTCGGCAACAGCAGTGTGTTTGACGTTAAAGAAAACACAAATGCTAATCGTCAGAGCGCCCACGTGCCTTAAGCTCATGCTTTGGCATTTGGAGTTACATAAGTAGCAAGATACAGAAAAGTACACAGAATTATTGCTCATCTTTAGGTTGGCTTCCAAAGCAGAGAAAGAAAAGAGCTGGGACTTCTCAAATGCAATAAATAACAGAGACCATATGTTAATTTCCAGGAAGTGGATAAAGCAAAATTGTGTCCTATTTCACTCCTCTCTTCATCATAATGTGTAATATACATTTATAATTTAAATGTTTGTTAGTCCACTACATAATAAACTCAAAGCTCATGTTCTCAAAAGGTGTGTTTTTAAAAAGCACATTTAATTTTTTATTTTTTGTGTGTGTATGTGTGTGGGCCCCAGGAATCAAACTACAGGTTTGGCCACAGCACTTTTATCTGCTGAGGCATTTTGCCCCTCAAAAGTATTTTATTTTATTTTGTCAAACATACATTGAAAACATGCTCAATTTTATTTTCACAGATATATTTGTTTAGAGACCCTAGCAATGTTGATGGTTGGTACAAAAAGTCAGCTCTGGGGGAGGACAAGGTATCAGAACAAAGGATGAAAATGCCACACTGGAGCCTGTTACTTTGTATAGCAACCTAAAGCATTTCTTAAAGAAAATGCAAAATATAAAATAAAAACTATATACCACTCTAGTGCCTTGAAGAGTATGTCATGAGCACACCTGGCCATCGTCACTTCCTCTTGGGAAGGCTTCTTTCTCACGTTCCCTGTCTGAACATGAGCTATGTCTCACGTGCTGAGCTCCTGGGAGAGCGCTGTAAGAAGCAGATTCATGGGGCTGAAGAGACAGCTCACCGGTTGAGAGCACTCACTTTTCTTAGCGAGGAACCGAGTTTGGTTCCCGGCACCTACATCTGGCAGCCTAGAGCTGCCTGTAACTCCAGCTCCAAGGAGCCGCTGCCCTCTTCTGGCCTCCAGTATCTTAATTTCTACTTGTAAAGAATCATTCACGCTAACCGTTTTAACCAGCATCCCCGCACAGCTGCTGCGTGATTCTTTCTCCTGAGAGGGTCTGTTGTGTCCGGCAAGCAGTGCACTTACAGTGGCGGGGAAGATCTTCCTGGTCCGATTAGGGGTGGAGTCAGTGAGAGGCGGAGCTTCAGCTCGGAGGGGCTGGCCTGCTTCCAGCTCACTTCTGCTCTCAAGTGTGTAGCCTTTAGGGATCCCACTGAATCCTACATTAGGAGGCCTGGGTTCTTCATCTGTCCCTACTTCACTCTCCCCAGTACTGCTCAGTTTCTCACCTGCTGCTCTCAACCCCGATTCTTAGTCTCCAAGTCATTGCTTGGTTAATGAGCAAGTGCTTCAAGGAAAGAACTGCCCGGTGTAACCACCTGGCTTCCTGTCGTGGCCCCTTGAATTACTACTGTTGTTTTGAAAGCTCTCCAGTGGCTTGAAACATATTCAAAAACTATTTTCTGAGTGTTGGCCCCGCCCCTCACCAGCTGCAGTACTCGTGAGAGTGGGCCCTGTACCCCACATGGGCAGCACAATAGCGCTGGCCCCAAGGGCATGAGAGTGGGAGAGCTGGCCTTGCCCCTTGCCAGCTGCGCCACTGGGCGAGCTAGCCAGGGCAGTCCTGGAGAATGTGACCGGGTGGTGTGGATGCTGGAGAGCTGGTGGGTTGACCAACTCAGCCACCACCCAGGCCTAGATTAAGGGCTTTGAGTTGGCCCACCCCCAAACCTACCTCATCTATGAATTGCTGGAACACACGAAAGGGCCAGCCTTGCAGATCCAAGGCTGTAGGATCTCCATGACAAAGGACATCCTAGAGGAATCCCAGTGAGGACCCAGCACTGAGGCTGCAGCAGAAGCCGGAGGCCTCAAACCAGACCAATGACTCAGTGCAATGAACATTTGCAAGTGAAAAAGTGTGGACAAAAGGGTGTACTGTGGGACACGCTGTGACGCACCTAAAGCTTTCAGGATGAGATGTTTTCTGTGCCTCATTTTGTTTAATCTGTTCATTTTTGTTTTTTATTTTCTTCAGGGAGGAGGTTGCAAGAACAGAGGGGGGGGGGAGGAGGAGATGAGTGAGACTGGGATGCGTGATGTGAAACTCACAAAGAACAACAAAAGGTTAGCAAATATTTTCTGACCGCTTCCTAGTTGAGAGAACTGGTCAGCAGCTTGGTGATCTGTCAAAAGTAAGCCTGGCCTTGGGCTGTCAACTTCAGGACTCCCCCAATGGCGCCCCAAGTGAAGACCAAGTGTTCAAACACCAGAGTCTATGGGGGGGGACGTTTCCCATTCAAACCACCTCCCCTCCCAAGGTTTAATAAATGTGTTTCTGTAAGTTGTAGTGGGAAGTTTGGTGTCTTTAAAAACTCAGTTATGTTTTAATCCCAGGTGTGGGATATGGTGCTGATTCAGATTGTCCACAGCAGCAAACTATTTGCCTCATGTGGGCTCTTTGCCAGTTGCAGATAGTTTAATTCTGAGGACTCTGGTAGAGAATAAACGCCAGGGCCCAGAGAGTGTTGGGGGCGGTGGGGGGCCTTTGAGAGAGGAGAACACCGCTGCTGCTCCCCCTCCTGCTCCTGGTTGTTGTTGAAGAGAAGTTGGAGATCTCCTGAAACAAAGATTGGACTTGCTCCAAGGAGCCCAACAACCCTAAACAGCAGGAAATAGCTAAAGTGAACTACACCCCTTGTCCCCACTAAACTTTCTCTCCTACCTAGTGTTGGAAGGGATTGGGGCAGAGAAGGGAGGTAGAGGCATAAGAAACAATAGAGTTAAAAAGTAGCACCAACAAGGGGCATAGGAGAAGGGAGAGGGAGGGTGAGATGGGAAGGGATGGGGGAGGGAGCTACAGCTGGAATACAAAGTGAATGAACTGTAATTAATAAAAATACATATAAATACTATTTTCAATAAAGAAACAGAATACAGAGGGGGAAAAAGCAGCACCAGCCGTAAGCAGCTCTTTGCACCTTCCGTGAACCCTCAGGGCACCCCTCCCTGCTCATGCCAGTGTTATAAAGGTACAGTCAGCACTGGGGATGTATTCAGGGTTAGAATTCTCTCCTAGCTTGTGTGATGCCTGGGATTCCATGGGAAGCACCACATAAGGAAATCCTGTACTATGTAATGGAAACATCAAATTTTAAGGTCGGAGTCTTCTTCCTCCTTCAGGACTGAGACTAAAGTTCATTGGTTTCTTTATTTCCTCACAGCCCTCACCCATTCACTGGGTGCTCGGTCTCCTTGAGGACCTGAGGAGCAGGTGGCAGAAAGGTGAAGAATCAGGAGAGTGTTTGTTGGGCTGAGTTGGCAGCAGCCCTTTCTGCTCTTGCTACATGTTAATATCAGCTCACTCTCTTGGGGGGAGGGTGTTACAGGCTTCAGCATCTCTTAATGGTGGCTTCTCCTCTGATTGAGCCATTTCCTTCACCTCCATCACTCTCTGGGAATCTGGTGACATCTGCCCCATGGGTATCAGAGTCTAAGACTCTGCCAATTTGCTCATGCTGACTTTGACAGACCTCCCATAGTCCAGGCTCTCTCTGCCAGCTGTCAGCCCTGCCTGGTGGCTAGCATTGTATTTCTTACCATGAGCCAAGCATCCTCCAGTCCAAATGCTCTCTTAGTTCTGACTGCAGCATCTTTCCTCGGGCTTGAGATGGCTGGGATTCACATCACACAGTCACACTGGTAACAGTGACCAAGGATCCCTTTTAGCCTCCCTCATCTTTTAGGGACCTATGCAGATTTCTACATAGATTTCTTCACAAGTTCTGGTTTGGCTTCTCTCACTTCACTTCACTTTTTGTTATATTTAAACATTATTAATTTTTATGCAATATATTTTTATCATATTCTTTCCCCACCCCAAGTTCTTCCAGTTCCTCCTCACCTCCCTCATGTTTTCTTCCAACAAAAAAGAAAAACTAAAAAACAAACAAACAAAAAAAAACAAAACCCTGAAAAGACAAAACCAAAACCAAACCAAACCAAACAAACAAACAAAAAAAACAAAAAACACCAAGTCATAGCAAGGACAGCAGCAGCAGCAGCAGCAGCACCCTACATGAAACATGGAGTCTGTTTTGTGTTGTTCATCTATTCCTGAGCATGCGACCTACCCAGGAGTGTGGGTGATAAACCTAATTCACTCCATTGGGGAAAACTGGTTTTCTCTTTTTCATGAAGTATCAATCGCAAATAGCTTTTTGGTTAGGGCTGGGACTTTGTGCCCACTTCTCAGCGCTGGGATTTTGGCTGGAAAGCACAGAGATTGTGACAGCATGCACAAGACCCACACAAATCCACCTTACTTTACAGTGTGTGAATCATTGGCATTAATTGCTTTGGGAATTGCTGAAAAGGAGAGAGGCTATACTACTCTACCCTACCGTGACATCCTATTACACCAGGCTTGAAAGAAGTGGTCAAAACAACAGCAGATCTGCAAACACCACGCGGGAGAGGAAGAGCAGCTCTGCCTGACGTGTCTGCATATTTCTAAGCATCGCCACCCACCTTCTCAAGACGCCACAGCCCAGAGGAGAAAAGACCAGGGCTGCCTTCACAAAGTCCAGCAGCAACCAGCCAGTGCTAGGAGCGCGTGAGCAGGCGAGACCTACAGCAGCTTCCCTGAGACATTTTCCAAAGCGAGGGCCCAGGAGGACAGGGCGACGAGGCCTGGGGCCAGAGCTACGAATGCAGATCATCGCCGTAAATGTGACACCATCTGGACCCCCTCCAGATTCCGAATTCCATTGCACTATTTAACTCCCACCCACATTATGACAACATCGGTAAAAAGCCGCATGAGATGAAAATCTATCTTGAATGAGAATTACCCATACTGGTGGTCAGAGCTAGTCCAGGCAGTGCGGGGTTGCGGGGGGCAGGGAGAGCGCAGGGGCACAGCAGACAATAGCCAGCCCCAGCTGTGCGGCCGGGCGTGGGCGTAGAAGGCGACCACCGCCACCCAAGACTCCCAAACGCACCGCGAAGAGGACCGAGGCGGCTCCAGGAAGACACAGGGCAGGGCCCTTTCCATCCTCAGCTCCCTTCCCCAAAACCTGGTGACTTCCTTGTTAGGCCAGCCGCTCTGGCCAGCTTGGGGCGGACACGAGGTGAGCTCTCTGGATTACTGAGCGTGGTGCGAAATTACAAACAGCGCTTTGGCTGAATTCCTGAGCTCCCGGAGCGGAGCTGTCCCTAACTACACCCAGCTCCGGGCCCGCCGGCCCCGCCCCGCGCCCCGAGGCCCCGCCCCGCGCCCCGCGCCCC